ATGCGTTAGGGAGCGCGTCTATAAAATGATGATGATGATGTAATCTACCATCTCGGGTCCTTTAATGATTAAACCAGAGAATGCCTGTAAAGCTTGTAACACCTCGTCTGGGCAAATAAGTGTCAGTCCCCGTACTTTTCTGTTACGTTACAGTTCTGCCTAAGAAATGGGACCGTTTCAGCCGCTCAGCTCTTGCAGCAGGAGGAGTTAGGGAATGATCTAGTTACCCCTGTGCCCCCAGGGCAGGGAGGCTAAACACAGTCCTCCCTAGTTTGCATGATGCCACCTTCAAAGTAGTATGTGTCTCCGCACACGCGTGTGAGGGGGTCTGCGTGAGGGCACACGGAGCCCTGGAGAAGTGCATGCACGGGTGTGTTCGCTTGTAACTGCCACAGCTGAGCGGTCAAAGCGCGACTCACCATTTTCCAGCGGTGGTGTGATGAAGGCCAGCGGGCAGTACGTTGCCCGCCTTCCTGCCCTCTGCCGAGGAGGCAGCTTGGGGTGCGTGTGGGTGTGTGCACGTGTGCACGAGTTCACAGGTGTGTGTTATAATTATGGGCCCCGTCCTGCTTTCTGGTTTGCTTTTCTGTGTCGCTGTGTCAATCAGCAATCGTAAGAAGGACCGAAGAGAAAGCAGAATGTCAGCTGCCCTCTTGACCTGTCTCTTCCTGGCCTCGGGCACCCCTCTAGGCTTCCCATGCCGAGCCTTCCGGGGGGAATGAGCCGGAGAGGGAGGGCGGGTGGGGACACAGGCTGCGGGCCGATAGATAGGTCGGGTGAGGCCGCCCCGGGAGGGCAGGGCCCTTCTGCCCCCACCTCCCACTGCCCGGTGTCCGTGACATCAGCAACACAGATGCCCGTTTTCACGAAGGCCCAAATTTGTAGCTGTTGTAATTAGTTTTCGCTACAAATGTTGTAAACAGAAAGCAAAGAAGACAGACCACTCTCCGGCCCAGGGTCACTGCGGGCATTTTAATACATTCCATCCCGCAGGTTTCCTACAAGCCGCCCTTCCTGTGTGCACTCTCGTCTGCCCTCGATGGTGACCTCCTCCCTGGTCCACGCCGTTCGTATCCATCATTTTGCACAGTCCTTTCTTGGGTATTGTGGGAACAGCCCATTTTTATGTGGCCGTTCAGATTCTTGAGCCAGTCCCCTCACACACCACCGATTATGCTGTAACAATGAACCCTTCCATGCCCCCCCAAATTCCTTAGTAATTACAGTTAGTCTCTGTTTTGATGAGCATTCTGAAGGCATAGTTCCTAAAGTCTAAGACCCTTTGTCTTGGGCAGAGAACACACACACACACACACACACACTCTGAGACGTTTTTGCTCATGGGCCCCGGTTTGGAGCCGTGAAGTGCAGTCTGCTATATGGAGCTGTAAGGAATCTGACTTCACCCTCAGATCCGGCCGCCTACTGGTGTCAGATGACCATGGGGGAGGTCTTTTGGAAGAGTGACAGGCCTGGAAAAGTTTCTGTTTTCCTGGCTTACCTGTCACTGTGCACCTTTCAGAGAGATTTTCTTACACAGCCCTGGTTGATGGGATCATGGACTATGGGCGATGAACCTAACCGCCAGCCCCTCTCCTGTCCCTGGAGGGTAGGGGTGGGGCTGAAAGTTCTAATCCTTTCTTCCCCCCTGAGCTCCCGGGGCCCAGCCTCCTGTCACTCGTTAGCATCTCCTTACAGCTCAGGAGATTGGAAGGTTTGGGAGCCTTGTGCCAGGAAACAGAGACAAAAACCAAACGCTGACTCTAGACTCTGTCACCCCTGTGGCCTTGGACACAAAGGTCCTGGCTTCTGATTTTGCCTAGAGGGGTGGTTCTCAAAGTGTGGTCCGGGCACCAGCAGCAACACCTGCGTGGTGGCTAGAAATGTCACCCTCAGTCCCCACCCCAGGCCCGCTGAATCAGGAACTCTGGGCTCGACATTCTGTGTTTGCGAGAGAGAGAGAGAGAGAGAGTGGGGAGAGAGAGAGAGAGAGAGTCCAGGAGGGTTCTGACGGCCACTTGAGCCCAGGAGCCACGGACTGAAGGATTCCAGAGGAGGGGCGTTCAGGCCTCAGTTAAAGGGAGGAGAGGAAATCAGCCAGGCGTGCCACAGGGCTGCCAGTGGAGGGCACCTTCCGGGGAGAGAGGAGCAGCCTGGGGGGTCAGAGGAGCAGGGAGGGAGGTCAGCACCAAAGGACACAGCGCAAGGGAGCCTTGAATGTCAAACAGGAAAAATAGGCTCTTAATCTACTAGTGGCATGAGAGTGTGTGTGTTTAAAAGGGTCTTTGGTACCCATTTGATGTTGGACTTGGAGAAGGAATCCTGGAGGATTCCAGGGGGGCTACGTGGAGTCGAGGGCTACGAGGCCAACCCCATCAACCACACAGGAGACCCCAGACCCCAGGTCAGGGGAAGTTTCAGGAAGTTGCTTTGCAAGGATGTGTCTGTATTTGTGTGTCTGTTTAACAGGCTGGTCTGTGCATCCCAGTCAGCCGGGGACCTTAGGCCAGAGCTCAAAGGGAGGATGGCCCACCCTCAGGGACACTCACAGGGAAATGGAAGAGGATCCGGGGCAGAGCCTGCTTTTCCCTCCTGAGGGGATGGATACACCCCTGCACCGTCTTAAGAAGACACGCCAGTGTCTGTGTGTCTGCGTCTGTGCTATGTGTGATATAGTGACAGGCCACCTGGCTGGCTGTTGCTCTCGAGGACGCTGTGGGTCCTTCCGAGGTGGAGTCCAATGTGAAGTTTGCTTTCCGGAGCGCTGCATGTAATCTGCAGGTGCTTGTGATGGGGTCAAGTGTTGGGTTCTGAGCCAACAGCCAAAAGACAATTCTTGAGATGACTTTGATGCAAACAGGTGTTTTTTATTAAAGTACAGGGACAGGACCTGTGGGCAGAAAGAGCTGGGTAAGAGGTGTGTTATATAAGATTTTCGATCGGGGTGCCTGGGTGGCTCAGTTGGTTAAGGGTCCAGTCATGAACTCGCGGTCTGTGAGTTTGAGCCCTGCTTCGGGCTCTGTACCGACAGCCCGGAGCCTGGAGCCTGTTTTGGATCCTGTCTCCCTCTCTCTCTCTCCCTTTTCTGCTCTGTATTTCTCTCTCAAATATAAATAAACATTTTAAAAATTGGGAGGAAATTGCAAAATTTACATCGGGAAGCGTAAAATAAAAACTACATAGCTTGGTTAGAAATATGATTGTGAAAAGTTAGCAGAGAATGGAGAAATTTTACGAAACTGCAGAGAACCTATGTAACCACCACCTGTGATCTTTCATCAGCACCTTCTGGGCTTTACCCCCAGGAAGTGGGCAGTTTGGGGCTCGGGCACATGAGCTTGTGTGGTGGTTCCCTGTTGGACCCGAAGACCTTCCTCCTCTGGTTACTTTAGAAAACCGGTTCCCTAGAGAATGAACCTTTCTGCATTGAAGGCACTGACTTGTCTTACTCTTTCTGACAAAGAGAAGCCCAAATGTCAGATGTGTGTTTTAGAGACTTTGGTTTCCTTGTGTAAAGAAGGATTTGCCGCGCATGGACCCTGGTGCTAGAGATCCCCTGCTTCTCCTCTCAGATTGTTCCTTTGGTCTGTTCGTGCCTTGAATGTGTGCCTGGTGGGGGGATCCAGTTGGGTACAGGAGGGCGTTCGGAGTTGTGCCGGGGCTGCAGACCAGGGAGACAGAGGGGCCGCGTGAGTGGTGCGACCCCATCAGGCTTTCCAAGGGCAAGTGAGACCATACAACTTAGTAGAATTCATTGTGTTAATTCTAAATCAGTACTAGTGTGGTTCTTTCTCTTTATTTCTCTCTCCATTGGATGAACTCTTTAATATCATCCTTCAAAATGGGTATCTAGTTAGAGTCCTCTTGTGTTGTGGCAAAATAAGCTAACAGAAAATTCACCATTTAACCATCTTTGAGTGCACACCTTAGTGGCATTAGGTATGTCTACACTGTTGTACAGGCATCACCTCTGTCCATAGCCACATCTTTTTCATCTTCCCAAACTGAGACTCTATGCCTGCTATACACTGACTCTCCATTTCCTTCTCTACCCAGCCCCTGGCAAACCAACATTCTGCTTCCTATCTGAGTTTTAGTGTTCTGGGTACATCATGTAGAGAATGGCACTTTTTGGGGGCGGAAATTTAAGTAATTGAAATATTGAACAAATTTGGGCACATTTGCAAAGCTGTAATCAGCCTTGGCGATGTAAATGGGGGCTGAGAATTAAACAAGCTTTCATTTCAGTCATTTCCGTTGACGTCATTTGATATAACACATTAGTCATTATTGTGGTAGCATCTCTATTCAGCTTACAACCTGGCAATATTTAGCTCTGAGTTCTCTGGTGATAAACTGCTGTGTGTGTGTGTGTGTGTGTGTGTGTGCGCGCGCGCGCGTGCGCGCATGCATGCGCGAGTGTTTCTGGTCTGTTACTGATTGCTTCTCAAGTGGAAACACAAGTCAGGTATATTGTGTCTCTTCTGAGAAATGGGCCGTGTTCGCAGCTCTGGAAACAACAGAAAAGAACTAGTACGTTCCATTAAATATATGTTGGCACCAATCACAAGACGCATGTTGCCTTGAAGGACATTAAGATCTAGGAGGGAAATCACGCATCTTGGAATCGATGGAATTTACTAGTAAAACCTGTGAAGACAGGTCAGGAAAGTCCTAGTACGTCAATAGCTGGCTAGCTGCTTATTAACATAAAGACATACCAATATGGTAAGCACGTTTTTAAGGTTTTTTTCAAAATTTACATCCAAGCTCGTTAGCATCTAGGGCAACAACGGTTTCAAGGGGAGATTCCTCAACGCCCCTCACCCAGTGAGCCCTTCCTCCCCCGCAGCCCCTCCAGTCACCCTCTGTTTGTTCTCCAGATTTAAGAGTCTCTTACGGTAGACGCTTTTTACGAAGAGAGCTGTGAGCTCTTCGTCTGCCTCTCACCAGGGGGCACCTTCCTCAGCCCGTGTCCCCTGTGCCGCCCTCTTCCGCAGGACACATGACCACCAGAGAAGGCTGCTACAGAGACCTGAGGTTTCAGGTGAACACATCCTTCTGCAATCCCAGCACCCGGCCTGCCACAGGGGTGGTGGCCTGCAGAGTGTCTGCCTGTCCCGCCAGGTAAGCACCGCGCCGGTCGTCCACACGGGGCTCGCGGGCTCGCGAACACTCGCGGTGAATGTTTGGAGCTCCCGAGTCCGGAGCACGGAAGTGCTCATTGCTGTCGCGTATTCTGGAACAGCGAAGAAGCGAAGGCACTAAGAACTGCCTGAGCAGGTGTGCTTGGTGGGAAGTGGTCCCGAGGATGTTGGGAATGGAAGTGGACGTTCTCATGACAGCATCCTGTTGGGTTGATTTGTACTTTAATCACTGCAGCCTGGCGGCAGTGATAATGTACTGTGGTGACGGTAATATTTCCCCACTCAGTCTCCAGGCCTTTCGCTCTGGTTTACTTTGCCTACTGAGTGAGACGTGTCGGAGGGACCCATTCACAGGCCTGCCAGGGGGTGCAGGCAAGTGTGGGTGGCTACAGGGCACACCTGCACACGCACGCACACGCGTGCACACGTGAGCCGAGAAAGCCAGGGCGGGTCTCTGGCTCCCCATCCTGCCTACAGCACTGCTGTGCAAGACGGTTCTCGGTAACGTGCAGGTGCCCTGCGTCGTTGGGTTGGGCAGGACCCCGCGAGTAGCCACGGCCGGGCCTGCTGCCAGCCCTCACACCCTGGGCACACCCTTCCCCTCTCTGGTGCTCAGCCCCTCATCTTTACGGGGGACACGACCCAGAGAGGCCAGGAAAATCATCTGAGTAACACAACGGACGTCTGACTCCAGCCGGCTCTTCACGCGGCCGACGCACTAAATTCCGTATGAGGTCATCTCAGACGCCTTGACTGTAAAGATCCACAGCTGCTGACAGACGGATTCCAGGTTCACTGAAATGGGCCTCAGAAGCCTGACGCTTTTCCGGGAGAGGGTAACACACGGGAGGGAGAGGGACCACCTCCCTTTGCCTCTGCGCTGCCCGGGTCCCTGGCCACCGGCTCGGGACAGAGATGGAGAAATCGGGACCTTTTCTCCCACCACGGCGATGGGGACCACCCAGCCTACCTGCGCCCCCAGGGCCTGGGGACCCACCACCTCACAGAGCCTCCCTGCTGCCTCAGCCCCCACGGCCCACGGCCTGCGCTGGGAGACGTGCTGGGCCCGGTGGACAGGAAGACTGTGGTGCTGGAGGCCCATCACCTGCTGAGGCTCGGGGCGCCCACCCGGGGAGCCTTCTGGGACTGAGCAGGCTTTGCGATTGGCCTCACGCCTTGGTACCCACTTCATATCCCTCAGCCGGCCGGTGCACCCCGCGGGCTGTGCTCAGCTGGACCCTCACTGCAGCCCGCTCTGGGTCCGAGGTGATGCGCCAGGCACACAAAGTCCTGGAGAGTTTCGGAGACGAGTCATGCAGTTGGCAGAGGGAGGCCGGCGGCAGCCTGGCACCAGGGTCTGCGGAAACAACCGTACGGGAGACGGGGGCGCCTGGGGGCTCGGTCGGTTGATTGTTTGACTCTTGCTTTCAGCTCGGATCATGATCTGGAGTTTCTTTGAGTTTGAGCCCCATGTCAGGCTTTGTGCTGACAGCATGGAGCCTGCTTGGGATTCTCTCTCTCTCTCTCTCTCTCTCTCTCTCTTTCTCTTTCTCTCAAAATAATAAATAAAGTTTAACAAATGGTCACCCTGTCCAAAGGGAACAGAGGGCCGGGTAGCCAGGGCTCCTACAGCCTCCTGTCGAGTCAGTGCACAAACCTGACTCCTTGCTCCTTCCCGGACAGCCAGTTCTGCACCTGTGTTGCAGGTGACCCAGGGTCGACATCATTGTAACCTTGGATCTTGGATCAGCACCTCGTCGCGTGTAGATGTGGATGTTTAGAGGTGCTGCCCCATGAGCCGAGGTTCTCTGCCAATAGTGCGCTGAGTTCTTGCCATGGCGGGGATGGGTGAGGGGGCTCGAGCAGCTGGTTAGTGTGTCCTAGGGGAACCTCCTTTATGTAGACCAAGAGAAGGGCGCACGTGTCACTTTCATGCACAGGAGAAGCCAGCCTTCTTAGTTACACGTGGAGGCAGATCCGCCCCAGTGCTAGCACCCCGGGGAACTGGGAGCTGTCAGTGCGTGCTTACAGTTGCCCAGCATGTGCACTGAGCAGCTCACACTCCTGCTGTCCAACCCACTTGCCTGTCTGTCTGGTGAGGCTTGTCCAGAGGGACGTCGAGAAAACACCCAGTCTGGGACTAAGTCACCGACTCCGCCTGCAGCTTGGTGACCTTAAGCAGCGCCTACCTCAGATGGGAGCCGATGGTAGGAAGGCCGGAGCAGGCCTGTCTGCGTCTGTAACCACGCAGTGCTCCCAACCCGAAGCAGGGGAGCCCGGAGCCTCCACGCAGGTTAGAAGGTCGCTCGTTCACCCTGTGCAGCCCTTTGGTTTTCTCGCTGGGCCTCCTCTGCTTCCCGACAGTCTGTCTGGTTTTGAGGGATCTGCACTCAGACTCTCTCTCTGTTCTTTGATGTAGTGTGTACTTAACTTACTCAGGTGAAACTTACTAAGTAAATTCTGTCACGGACTTTGTGTGCTGAAGGTGAAGGCAAAGTTCAGAGCAGTTGGTCAAGGGAAAGTTAGAACTGGGGTGTGGAAACAGCGTGTGGAAACATGGCGAGGACCCCCCAGAGTCCTCTACGAAACATCCGAAGCCCTCCCTCCATCTGGCTCTTGGATTTGCGTCTCATGTGTTGGAGTGTTTGTATTTTTCTCTGAAGGAGGACGCCTTTGGAGACAGTCCTAAGCTTGGCCGTAAAGCTAATACCAGGCTTTCCTGCTGGGAGCTCCCTAACGTCCCCCACAGAGAGCAGACGCCCAATGACACGCGGGGCCCCGCAGTTTGTCCTAACAGGTGGGACGAGATGCCCCAGCCCCCGCCCCAGCTGTGGGCATCAGTTTGATGGAGCGGACAGGTCAGCCCGGATTAGGAGGAAGGTCAAGAGCGAGGATGGTGTGCAGTGGGCAGCTTGCTCAGTGGTGGGGGCTGGGCAGCCAGCAAGCTTCAGGTCTCTCACGGCTGGAGCTGATGCACTGAGGCCGGGCCCTGCTGCAGCGGGCGAGGAGGAGGAGGGCGCCCACGGGAGGTGCCTGCATCACTGATGCTCCCATGGGATGGGCTGGGAGGGGTGCGGAACAGCCACCTGGGAATCCGTGTGGCCATTTTGGGGTAAATAGCGAGTGAGCGTTTGTCGTGGGAAAGCATGTAAAAGCTCTTAGGGCTGCGCATGTGCTGAGCACTCAGTAACCCTTGGCTGTTTTTATTTGTGCTGTAAAAGGAGAAACAAATTCATGTCAGTTATTTATTTAGTCTGGGAAGCAAGACTATCTATGACAAAATGCAGAGGAATGAAGTTATGTTAGTCCTTGTGGATTGTGATTTTAACAGTTGACCTGGCGAAGTAGATCTTAATTTAAAGTGTTTTGTTTTCCTCCAGGATGTCAGGCACATTTCTCTCCTGCCCAGAATACTGGCAACTTCTTTTTCCTGGTTAAGTGGGCAGAAGAGCCAAGTTTCATTTGTGCGACCACGAGGGGCATCCCTTTCTTAATAGACTCCGTCTGCTGTGAGGGTTGGGTGTCCCCTGCACCTGTCCCGGGGATGGGTATTTCCTGAGCCTGTCCCGGGGACAGGGTTCCCCTGAGCCTGTCCTAGTGGCAGCACGGAGCCGCGGCAGGTGCACCCAGTGCCCGCGAGAGCTGAGTCCCCCACTCCCTGGTCTGACTAAATACAGGACGCAGCAGGTGCGATTTCGTGTTACCTGTTGAACCGGACGGAGGGTTCCCAAAGGACCCAGAGCGGAGTCTCTAAAACATCTTATCCTACAGCCTTCTCGTCTTTCACTGAAATAAGAAGCTGCTGCCACGTGGGTTGTAGCTCCTGACCTCCCTGTCGGCATCCACATGCACACGTGTGCCTTGGGCACGCGGCTGGAGGGCGTCAAGCCCAGGGTCCTTCCCCGATGGACCTGAGCTCCCCCAGCTCGTAAATCTCTGGGGAGGGTGGTGAGCTGGGAGTCCAGCAGGTTCCTCACTGGAGGAAGCTGATCTTAAAGTGTCTGCAAGGCTCTGGCCGGCAGGAGCATTGTGGCCACGTCAGCGGTTCCCAGCTGCTCCCTGGGCTGGAGCTGCTCCCCTGGGCTGAGCGGAGCCAGCGGTCAGCGTCGGGCTTCCCTGGGGCCTCAGAAGTGAGGCCTGGCTCCCCACGGCCTCGGAACAGACGGCAGCCGGGGCTCCCAGGGCCTGGCCACCTCCTTCGTCATCGCTTGCCCTTGAAACAGAAGCCACACGGACACTCACTCCCTTTACGTTGAGCAGTTTATCTAAACAGAGTGGCTCTTCATGTCGTTTATCTCAGCTCGGGCCTGGTTTTGGAAGCACGAACACTGGAGCGTGGCTTCCTAGACAACGCACGGAAGGTGCAAGAGGAAATACTTTCCGGTTGGGAATTGGGTCCTTTTCCTCAATCTCCCCGATTCTCCTTGGAATGAAGCCTCAGAGTTTTAGTTAAACAGGTTGTGACTGAGTATACTTCGTTTTCTTGTGCTATTAAGTCGTGCCGAGGCAGCCCCGCTCTGTAGTCTCTCCACCAGGCAGACTGTTTCTGCCTACGCTTTGGTGACTCCTTACGAGCCCATTGGTAGAATTGTTCCTTACGACCAAAGCGCCTGGTCGGGGACCGCCTTCAGGTTGCACGCTGTCCGAACGCAGGCTGAGGGTTAGCAGGTGAACTTTGTTACTGGTACTTTCCCAGCAGCGTTTCAGGGACAGGCAGGGGCCAGTACTCTGTCTTTCACCTCTTTAGATACGAGCCGTGCAAGCATTAACTGCCCAGCCACGCACAGGTTCCCAAGGGAAGGAAAAGAACCTTCCTCACTTGAGGAGCTCCCACCTGCAAAAGGGCTGCACTGACCCAAGTGCCACAGAAGTGAGCATCTTAGTTCTGTTGCTTATCAGAGGCACTGAGGGTAAAGTAGCCGCGGGCCTGGCTCCGCGGGCGTGTGGGTCCCCACGGGCTTTCACTCTCGGCCGTTCCGG